TACACTACATATTAATAAATATTATAACTATATAAAAATAAAAAATAATCATATTCCATACAGCAGTCCGGATTCTTAGCCCTGAATCATACTTCTGTCCACATGATTCAGAAGAGACTGGAGCAGAAAAGACTGCCCTGGAGAGAGAGTCACTGATGTCATTTCTTGCAGCATGTCCCCCACTCGGACTATGTTTCCCCTAGTGGATGTTGAGAAAATGAGTGCATAAGAAGCTACAATAAATGAGGTCACAGACTGTATTTATGTAAAGTTCCTATATACATTTGATTCATTTTATTTCTGGCATGTATGCAGTTGACTGAGCTGAAGTTTTCCAGAAACAGAAGCAGAAGCTGATATGGTACAGGCTAAATATTACTTGAACTAACCCAAACTGTCTTTAACATACAGATGTACTTCAGATTTCAACTCAGCACCAGTGGAGTTACGCTGTTGTAAAACAAGAGGATAAATAAGCAATTCAGGCTTAAGTGGTTTCACAGTGCAGGAGATCATGGGAGAATTGGATGGACAGTTATGATGATGATCAGATTATACTTATTGTTGCATTTTCTAATTTAAGGTCAGTGAAAAACAGATTTTGACATTCAGGTTTTGAGCACATTGTGGATATGTTAGTAATTATCTGAGTTCTGTCCTTGGTGTTGTTATCTGTGTTTTGCCTTTCTGTTTTGTCAGCTTTGCTTTTATTATATGGCTCCCTGAGAAACCCAGCTATAGCTATGCTTTTTTCCCCTGTACTTCTGCCACAAGAGAACATGCCCTCAGGAGGCAGGAGGGATAACGATTCTTCCTGAGAGAGGACAGAGATGAGGAGCAGTTAGCCTGGGCTGGGTAGATGGAAGCACCTTTCCCCAACCACCACATCAGAGTACAGATGCAGGTGAGAACTTCAGAGAGACATGTAGGCAGGAGTAGCAGCAGAGTAAAAGAGAAAATTCCCAGGCGTATGATAATTCCATCCAGTTTTTAGTGCAAGTAATGAATTTTCACCATGACCTCACAGCTGCCCCTTCAGGCTTTGAGAAGGGTGAGGTTGGCCACCCCAATGCCTGACTGTATCATCTGTTAATAGAAAGGGGAAGAAGTAACCTCAGTGCCCCATATGTTTGAATTCATACATAACGGGATGTGGGGTGGGTGTTAGAGAGTGTAAGCCTGTAAGATTTTTGCACTGAATGAGAGGAAACAGCTGTCCTGACATTTAGAGAATCTAAAACTCAAGCAGGATTTGACAGGTCTCACTTGCAATGAAAAGGAGCTGAGATTCCTTTCTTCTGCCACTCAACAAGCTAGCTCTGAACAGACACAACTTTCCCCTGCTGTGGTCCCCAACGACCTTGCAGTGTAGTGGCAAGAATAATTTTATTTTACTTTATTTGACAAAGTGGGAGCTGAAGTCCCAAGAGATTTAAGCCCCTTGGTGATTTTTGAAGCCCCTCTAGAGAGCTGTGTGTAGCTTTTGGTTTAGGCACCTTTGAGACTTTGAAAGTTTGGCTTCCTCAAGATTATATAGAAAGTATGGGAAAGAAGAGACAACGAAAGCCAGCCTTCTCAACTGTAGGGTAGCACGCTGCCCTAAATTCATCCTCCCTCCCCATTTTTTGCAAGGCAGCACAAGACTGGTGCTCTGTATCTCTTGAGTGCCTTGTATTGGAGTGCTGTAGCACAGTTATTTTGTTTCCTGGCACGAATTTGAGCATTTGTGATTGACTTCTTTTCTTCTTCCTCTAGAGCTGAACAAGCAGGAGTAAATCAAGTGATACAGACAAGTGCACACACCTGAATATGACTGTTACAAAACATTTCCGACTTTCATTTCTGACCACTGAAGTGGCTCCATGTCCACACTAAGATAAATGGCTCCTATGGATGTGGTGCTCTTCAAGTGTGTATGAGCTATTGAGGTAAAAGGCCAAGGACGATGGATGCGTGCTAACATATTTTGTGTGTGGTGCAGTTTTAGGGAGAAAGGGGAGGCAGTGCTAAAGAGGTAGAATGCAGCATCAATAAAACCAGATAATTCCTCTCAAAGGTGGAAAACAAGGAGGAGGGTGTGCAGAGAGCAGACATGAAGACATGAAATTAAAT